ATGAGGGGTATAGTTAGGGTTAGTGGTGGGTATCTTTTCCGTAGGGTGGTGGATTTAATACAAGAGGGGCACATTTTTAAGGTCAGAGGGACGCTATTTAAAAAACACATGAGACGCTATTTTTTACACAGTGGTTCACGTGTGGAATGAACTTCCTGAAGAAGTAGTGGAAGTGGGTACAATTACAGCATTAAAAAGACATTCGGATAAGTACATGAGTAGGAAGGGTTTTGAGGGATATGGGCCAGGAGCAGGCAGGTGGGACTGGTTTAGTTTGGGATTATGTTTGGCATAGATTGGTTGGACCAAAGGGTCAGTTTCAGTGCTGTATGACTCTATGACAATGTGTAAAACACCCACAAAAACAGTAAGTGACCATTGAAGTTATCTCACTGGAGTTTCACTGTGCATCCGCAGAGGTTACAGCAGGACATCAGGAGAAGCCTGGAGGGAATTCTGTCACAGCTGTTAAAGTACAGATGAAGGGTCAGTCAGGGGTTGGGGGAGAGGGTCTCTGTATTTGGGCAGGAACACGTAAAGAACAGGAAGCCAAAAGATGAATGAATTGCTGATGCACTGAAATTGGCCATTGCTTTGGAATGGGCCAAATATCGTAAACAAACCACGGAGAGAACACTGAAGTAATTTACAGGGCCTCATGCAAATGAATAACCACCCTGGCTTATGAGTTTAGTCTGTTCATTGCCATGTTTAAACAAATGAAAGAAAAATCCACTTATCAGATGAATATGGTGATAAGTCTCATCGGTTTCTGATGGGGCTGTTGATTGTGATAGCTTGTTAATTTCTCATGGTAATGTGTAAAAGAAAAGGCCTCATCAAGTATTGTTTCATGTTTGCTGAGAAGTGCATATGATGTGGACAAAGTTAGAAGTCATACAACACCAGGGTACAGTCCAACAGGTTTATGTGAAATCACATGCTTTTGGAGCGCTGCTCCTTCGTCAGCTGAAGAAACAGTACCTGATCCCAGTACAACTAAAGCATTTCTTATCTTTCCCAAACTAAAGAATACAGTTTGGAGGGGGCAGGCAGAGAGAGAAAGAGAGAGGATAGAGAAAAATATGGAAGAGTCAAGGGCAAAAATCGGATAATCCATCAGTGACTTTATGGGGTTTTGTTAATCCCACAAGAATGATCCCAGAAGCCCAAAGGAACAGATGTTGGTGATTTATTGATATGCGCTGAAAAGGACAAGTCATAGTCAAACGTTTCAGCAGGGAGTCATGTCCGCCGTTAATGAAATGTCAACAAAACACCAGAGAATTACAAGGCGTGCATGTGTAAACTTGTACCACTGTGACAGATGGTGCAGAAAAGCTGGTGTTGGCTCCCCTCAATCCCCCTCCACTCAATAACATATAACTAGGAGGAAAGTCACACAGGCGGAATGTAGAGGTGGATAGCTCCAATGCATTTAAGGGATGTAGCCTTGCTAACTAATGTGTGTGCTCCACTCTTTTAAAATTACAGTCCCTACTGTTCCAACGTTTGGCCTAAGTTCTTACTTAGGGGTGGTCTCACATAAAATGTGTTTGACTTGTCTGCCTTTCTTTTTTTGCAATGTAGAAACCTTCTGTTAAAATGTAGGCTGGTATCTCCAAGTTTAGGCCGAATAGAATCTTGTTTCGGATGGTGGAGAAGCTAAATGGAAACGTTCATTTGAAGATACTATTTTTTTCCCCAGGCTCAAATAAGTGGTGTACCTTCATTTTTCTTTCAGAGACAGCTGCAGAAATATCACATTAAATTTGACTTTCCCTTCCTCCATTCATCTTTGTGATAGTTTTGTTTTGATTGGTTTTGCGTTAACAACTTACAGATTTATTGAATGTGGAGTGCACAGTATCCCAGAGCGACTTTGCCAAATGAGGAATGGAAATGTTCAGCCAAGAGAGAGAGGTTTTTTTAATTCATTTATGGGATAAGAGCTTTGCCAGCGAGACAGCATTTATTGCCCATCCCTAATTGCCCAGAGGGATGTTAAGAGTCAGCCACATTGCTGCAGGTCTGGAGTCATGTGTAGGCTGGACCAGGTATGGATGGCAGTTTCCTTCCCTAAAGGGCATTAGTGAACTAGATGGGTTTTTCCTGACAATCAACATGGTCATTGTTAAATGATTAATTTCAGATTTTTACCACATTCAAATTGTACTGTCTGCTGTGGCAGGATTCGAACCCTGGTCCCCAGAACATTAGCTGGGTCTCTGGATTAACAGTCCAGTGGTAATAGCACTGGGCCATCACCTCCCCATAGAATTTGCTGCAGGGTTCTCCTGATGTCCTGCTGTAACCTCTGGGGATATACAGTGAAACCCCCGAGAGACTATTTCAGCGGCTATTTACTGTTTCTGTAGTCTCAGAACTGGAAAACTGGATGTGAAGATGGGTCTTCAGAGAATTTGCAAAGGAAAAAGAGGGCAGCATAGAAATTTAGAGAGGGAATTCCAATACAACCCAGAGTAGCACAACAAAAGTGTTTATTATCTCCAAAGGTGAAGTCACACGACACCAGGTAAAAGTCCAACAGGTTTATTTGAAATTCCAAACTTTTGGAGTGCATCTCCTTCGTCAGGTGCATTGAGAGAGAACAGCACACAGACACAAAGTTTATAGGCAGAGAGATCGGGGCAGAGAGATGAAAAGATCATACAACTAGTGTGAGTGCAGTGTCAGATTATAAATCTGCAGGTGACTGAGAGTGTTAGACGATGTGAGTAAAGTATCAACAGCTGAATAACAAGCACAGGGATGACCAATAATCTAATGGAATGAGACAGAGAGATAATCACGAAAAAATTAAAAATAAGGTGGTGCTGGAGACAAACCAAATAACTGGAATAACATGATAGATAAAAGAGTCACATGCTGAGGATCTAACCAAAGTAAAAAGTAATTCAAAACTGTACAAACTAATTAATGTAGAGAGATCATAACAATTTATCAAGGTGCTGGTGTCAAAACAGGGCGGTAAGGTAGATTTTACAGATACAGAAAATTGTGCTGGGGTCACATGTAGAACAACATGAATTCAAGAGGCTGTCCTCATTGGTACGGAACTTGGCTATCAGTCTCGCCTCGGCGATTCTGCATTGTTGTGTATCTTGAAGTCCGCCTTGCAGACATAACGACAATGGATGAATGGACACTGCACAAAAGTCACCAGACAGGAGCGTTCCCTCCCAGTCGGGGAACAGTTCAGGGATCAAGGACATTCAGCCCCCGATCTTCGGGTATGCACAATGCACAGTCCTCGAGATACACAACAACGCAGAATCGCCGAGCAGAGACTAATAACCAAGTTCATTACCCATGAAGATGACCTCTTGGGTTCATATTGCACTACAGGTGACCCCGGCACAATGTTCTGTATTTGTAAAATCTACCTTACTGTCCTGTTTTGACACCAGCACCTTGATAAATTGTTATGATCCCCGTACCTTAATTAGTTTGTACAGTTTTCAATTACTTATTACTTTGGTTAGACCCTTCACATGCGACTCTTATACCTATCATCTTATTCCAGTCATTTTTAGTTTGTCTCCAGCACCACATTATTTTTCATTTTTTGTAATTATCTCTCTGCCTCATTTCATTGGATTATAAATCATCCCTTCGCTGGTTATTCAGCTGTTGACAGTTTTCTCACACTCTCGGTCAACTGCAGAGATTTATTATCTGACACTGCACTCACACCAGTTGTATGATCTCTTGATCTCTCTGCCCTTCATCTCTCTGCCTATAAACTGTGGGTCTGTGTGCTCTTCTCTGTCACTGCACCTGATGAAGGGGCTGCGCTCCGAAAGCTTGTGCTTTCAAATAAACTTGTTGGACTATAACTTGGTGTTGTGTGATTTCTGACTTTGTCCACCCCAGACCAAGACCGGCACCTCCACATCGTCATTTCCACTGCTGACATTAACCAAAGCTGCTCAGACAACACCTTCCAAACTCACAACCACGACCATCCAGAAAGGACTAGGGCAGTAAAGACATAGGGAAAACCACCACTTTCAAGTTCCCTCCAAGCCATTCACCATTCACTGCAGTTCCTCCAGTGTTGCTGGCTCAGAATTCTGAATCTCTCTTCGTAATGCCAATGTGACAGAACGGACTGAATGGTTCGAGAGCTCCCCACCTCTTTCTCTCGTGGGCAGTAAGCCATTTGGAAAAAATACTGGCCCAGCCAGCAACCGCAGCATCCCATGAGTGATCAAGAAGAGAATCAACCAAAAGTTTCCTTGCCCATGTTTGATCTGGTATCATGAGACATCCAGATACAATTTTGAGCGTTCTGTGGCCAGTCCTTTCTGAATCTACATTGCAATACCACTAGTACTGCTGGATATGTTGTGATAGGTCATTCACAGGAATGCTGGTGTCAGTATCTGGGACACTTTCTGTAAGATGCAGTCGAGCGAATGTGGCTCCATCACGCTGTACCTTCATTAGCTTGTGAGTCAACTCCCCCAGTTTTGGCACAAGCCTCTGGACATTAATAATAAGAACTTCTCACTTGTATAGGAGTTGATAGGTCATGTTGCGGCTGTACAGGACATTGGTCCAGCCACTTTTGGAATACTGCATTCAATTCTGGTCTCACTGCTATACGAAAGATGTTGTGAAACTTGAAAGTGTTCAGAAAAGATTTACAAGGATTTGCCAAGTTGGAGGGTTTGAGATCGAGGGAGAGGCTGAATAGGCTGGGGCTATTTTCCCTGGAACGTTGGAGGCTGAGGGGTTACCTTGTAGAAGCTAATAAAATCATGAGGGGCATAGATAGGGTGACTAGTCAAGTTCTTTTCCCTGGGGTAATTGAGTCCAAAACTAGATGGTGTAGGTTTAAGGTGAGAGGGGAAAGATTAAAAAAGGGCCTAAAGGGCAACTTTTTCACACAGAGGAGAACCCTTCTCAGTTGCTCTGTCAGTGCTGGGTGTATCTGGCTGTTCTGAGGCAATGTGTTCTTTGTGTGTTCCCAGGTCCTCAGTCCTCCGAGACTCAGTCGTGCAACGCCCATGCTACATCATGTCCGCCAGTGTGCGTGTGCAGTAACAACATCGTTGACTGCCGAGGGAAAGGGCTGACCGAAATTCCAGTCAACCTTCCGGAAAACATTGTGGAAATGTGAGTAATAATTTCCTTCATCTGCATTTTCAAGGGACTGTGGGATGGGGAGGGTGACATCGAAACATCTGAGCTTCGAAATTGATCTTGCAGCTGCTGAAGTCATCATTTAACACCATCCTGCTTCAGGAGATCTAATCATATTAATCAAAATCACAGTTGCTCGAACCAAACACAGCACTAATTAAGGGCAAGCTGCAAAGTCAAGATGGTTTAGATTATATTGATGGATGGTCTGCTTAAATCCAGAGGTGACTGCATTTTCCAAATACAGGATGAACAGCCATTAGTTTCTGTGGGGAAGCATATGGAGTGATCGCAATGGACCTGCATGAAACTTAGCCAGAAAAAGAAAAAAACTTCAACTAACACTGAGATAACAAGGTGTAGAGCTGGATGAACACAGCAGGCCAGGCAGCATCAGAGGAGCAGGAAGGCTGACACTTCGGACCCTTTTTCCGAAGAAGGGTCCAGACCCGAAACGTCAGCTTTCCTGCTCCTGTGATGCTGCTTGGCCTGCTGTGTTCATCCAGCTGTACACCTTGTTATCTCAGATTCTCCAGCATCGGCGGTTCCTACTATCTCTGAGTGAGTCTCAACTAACACTGAGTTGGGTCAATTCTATCAGGTCAGAAGCACGTGCTGATTTTTTTAATCTTAAAGTTCAGAATTAGAATCAATCCATTCTAAAAGGAAATACAAAAATGGGGTTGAGCAAACTTGAGTGAAGTCATTTTATAATTACTTGAACTTTGTACTGCAATTAAGACAATATTTCATTGTGGCTGTATTTTTGATTACTTTGGCTTGTTCTCACACACAATTAACTAACTTTTGAAAACAAAGACTGGTTTTGCTGTGCCTGATTGAACATCAGTTTTACTGGCTGAATAAATGTGGCTCTGAATGCATTTTTTTTAAATTCACTCGGGGATATAGACTGGGCCATCACTTATTGCCCGTCCCTAGTTGCCCCTTGAGAAGGTGGGGGTGAACTGCCTTCTTGAACCGCTGCAGTCCATGTGCTGTAGCTAGATCCACAATGCCCTTAGGGCAGAAACTTTGTAGCAACTGATAAACTCTTTCAGAGGCCAGTTGAGAGTCAACCATGTAGTCACATGTAGGCCAGACCAGCAAGTAACTCCCTGGGTTAGCTGATTGAATCATTTAAGTCAAATGCTTTCTTGAAAAATCTCTGTTTACTTCCCCGCTCAAAATGACTTTCTGTCCTTAGATGATAAAAAAGGCATTCACAGATTGAAAACCAAAATCCATTTTATCCTCCACTTTGAAGTCCAAGTTTCCAAATAATAACAAGTATTGCAAACCTGCCTCACAACACTGAACACTGCAATGGCATTTCAGAGGGCAGTTAAGGATTTAGCACATTACTGGCGACCTGAAATTACTTGTGGGTTAAGCCAGACCAGATACAGAAGACATCTTTCCTCTTCCTGAAGGACAAACAAGATGTACTTTTATGTAGTTTCAACATTATTATAGGTAAGTAGCAATTGATTTCTGATTTCTTAATTAGTTGCATTTAAATTCCTCCAGTTGCTGTGACTTGACCTCACTTTTTCAGAGTATTATTGCTGTCCTCTGGATTAGGTTAGTACCAGTCACTAGGCACTAGTAACATCACCATGACAATTGCATTGCTATAGTCTCCATCGAAATGAGAAGAAAGGCACTGTTGACATTGCATAAACATGGACCTGTTATTCACTAAAACTTTGCAATATGGAAGGAATTGGGTGTGTGCAAAATAGGGTAGGGAAGAGGGTAGTGGAATCAAGGCTGTCATGAGTTAAACGTTTCCAGGAACCACATGAAGAAGCTCTTAAATAGCAAATATAGTGCGTCTCCTTTACAACTTAGAGCAAAATTTGCCCAGTCCGCATGCTCATGCCCAGTTGTATCCGGCGATGTGGTCAGCTTGCAGGAGGAGCCTCAGCTGTTCCAGATGGCATTCTTGCCCACCACCCACTTAGTTGGAAAATAAAAGAAAAACAAACCTGTTACCACAGCAACCACCACGTGTGGAGCAGTGAACAGCACAGACATGCCAGGGTGCTTCAAAGGTACCGACAGCAAGCCACATTAAAACATGTTGGGACACCTTACCCCAAAACCTTCGTCAAACAAGTAGGCTTTAGGGAACGCCTCGCAGAAATTGAGAGAGACAGAGGAGGACATTCCAAACCTTAGGGTCCAAGGTGAGGTGATGGCCTAATGCTGTTATCGCTGGACTGTTAATCCAGGGATATTCTGGGGGCCCAGGCTCAGATGGTGGAATTTGAATTCAGTAAAAATCTTGAATTGAGAGTCTAGTGATGACCATGAATCCATTGTCAGGAAAAACCCATCTGGCTCCCAAATGTCCTTTAAGGAGGGAAACTGCCAACTTTACCTGGTCTGGCCTACATGTGACTTCAGACCCACAGCAATGTGGTTGACTCTTAACTGCCCTCTGGGCAATTAGGGATAGGCAATAAATGCTGGCCTGGTCAGTGATGCCCTCATCCCGTGAATGAATGGAAGGCAAAGGTAAAGTTGTGATCACCTTACCAGAACATAAGCTGCTCTCTGATTAGTGAGGGCTGACTGGTGTTGGTTTAACCTGAGGGTCACCATGCCTCAGGTGAGGAGAGGTTGAGAAGGAGAGTTCCTCATGGTAACCTCAGCCAGTTCAGGAATTGAACCCGCACAGTTGGCATCATTCTGCATCGCAAAGCAGCCATCCAGTTCAAGCTAACCAACCACCAAACCACCGCCCCCAACTCCCAAGGCGGAAATGAGCAAGTGGCTAGAATTGGACGAACACAGATATCTCTATGGATTGTGAGGCTGAAGGGGATAAGAGACATTGGGAAGCATGAAATCATGGAGAATTTTAAATCCACAATGTTGTGTGATAGGAGTCAATATTAATCAGCGAACTAAGGAATGATGGGTGAAGCGGGCTTGTTGTGAGTTAGGAGATGGAGCAACATAGTTTGAGGTGAATTTTTGCACACTTGTAACGTGGACTGTAAAAACAAAACTGTCTATGCAAGTGCTGCCCAGTGTGTCACAGGTTTATGAATGTGGGCCACAGAATTGGGCTCTGCACCATGTTGGTGCATGGAAGACTTGAACAGCAAAATTGTCAGCCATCTAGCTGCCAACCATTTGCAAAATGGTCCACGCAGTATGCCTACTTGACAGAACACGAGGGCTGGCCTATCTGCATGCACTGGCAGCTACATTCAGTAGTTCCACAACTCTTCCAGATATTAACGTGTCAGCTTAACACGTCCGGTTCTTCTGCAGCATCTTACAAATGTATTGATTGTTTTGGTGTTCCACCTCCGTCATCTTGGTGTGTTCTTTCATGTTCAAATTGTCCAGTTGTCATATTGTTCTTTTAGCTGGCTTCTGTTCCTCCTTAGTGTCGTTTCATAGATGTTGTGCCATCACAGAATGTGCCCTCTTTGGAAACCTCTGCAGGTAACCACGATGCCATCGTGGGCTGTGTGACTCTGACCTGTAGTGTAGTTGAGATAGCTCCACACCTACATGCAAGTCATGTAGCCCCTTCATTCTCCCTTCCTGTTGAGCAATGCTCCCTGAATCTCCAAGAACTTGGATCAGTGGTGGCTTAGGATGATTGTTCTCACTTGCCAACTATATACAATCTCTGCTGGTGATGGTAACCCCCATCTCCAGAGATGCAGGTCTGAGGCGGAATATAGCAGCAACGAAATCTTGCTCCATTACCCTGTGCTTCAGGATAAGTGATTTAACGGTACCACCCATTTGCTCCGTGGGACAGTGAGATCTGGGGTAATGTGGTGAGGGCGTCACATCTTTCACACCCCATTTGGCACATTTATCCTTGAAATGACTGCCCATTGTAGGAAATGACTTCTTCAGGTGCACTGAACATGGCACTGAGTGTGTCTGCCATGGATGTGCTTGAAGTGCTCTTTGATGCATCCTCTCTAACACGTCAATGTCACCCTGAATCCCTGGCCAATAGACTGTATCCGTCATCTCATCTGCTCTATCCCCAATGTCCTTGCATAGTTCTGACAGTATGGCAGAGAGCTTTGGGCATAAGTGCTTATTTACCTCTAAAGGCAATATCTTTCAAGATGTAAAGTTCATCTCTGTAAAGTCAAAAGCATTGGAGAGTTACCAGAATGTTCTTCATCAGGTCAGGATGGGTAAAATCAAAGAAAGAACCTTCACTCACTGATGGCAATTGTTTGCCGTTACTTCAGTATCTTTGGAAATGCATAGACTTTGAGAATTGGAACTGGCCGTGTGAGCAAGCTGCCTAACTCTGCCTGGATTTAAAGCGTTACTGCGGGTTACAATAATCTGGACATAAAATCATTGGGACTTTTTGCTCACCTAGTTCCCACTGCAGGTTAAAACTGGGACGACATGCGCCTGAGCATAGCTCACGACTCTGTCTGCCTTCTGTGAGTAATGGTCTCCAAAGTAAATCACCTGTATGCAAGCACTTGAGTCCACAGTAACAATGCTAATGGCTTCACTCACGGCGCATATGCAATCCACTGAGGACTGGCATGCCAAGAGATGGACATAGGCAGTCTTAGTGAGGCACAAACAAGAGTCCACAACTTACCAAGTGTGACATCAAGCTAGCAAATAGGCTGTATTAATCTCAGACTGCTGCCTTGGAGAGGGATGGAGTCAGTAGCCAGGGAACAAAGTTTGGAGTAAGATTGAGATCCATGCCTTCAGTCTTCCCAATTTCTCTCAGGTGAAAATGCCAGACCTCCCTGTCAGATGTCCGATAAGTAGTTTGATGCGTTAGCAACAACAGACGAACTCCACGCACCTAAATGCCTACCCACTCTAACCGGCCCAGAAGTGCTGGCTGGGAAAATCTGATTCAGCCACAAATGTACACAGAACTGCAGGGGTCCAAATTGGTGCAGGGTTTCTGAGCTAGGGAGGTGGATCAAAAAGACAAGCTACTGACC